ACCTGCTTCCTGACCTGAAAACCCCCTGCAAGAGGAAAGGGTCAACAAGTGCTTCATACCCTGGGATGAGGGAGGAGCCTGGTTAGATGTGAAATAGAAGGATGCCACCAAGGAGCTGTGTGACCTTGGTTTCTCTCTGGGCCTCAGTTTCCCCTTCTGTCAAATGAGGGAGTTGCACTCCTTCCCTTCCGGCTCTGACATTCTCGGATTCCAGGACTGGGGAGAGGGAGGGCCCTGGTGTCCTGGTACACCACTCGGATGGACTTGTCCTGTTCCGGAGGTCCTGGGACCCCCGAGGGAGCGAAGAGGCTGCGGTTCACCTGACTGATCCACTCCCAGATGCGCTTCTCGCTGTAGTAGCCGGCCTCGGAAGACCCCTCTCCAGGGCTGTTGTTTCCCAAAGGCCCCGCCAAGCCAGGCTGAGGCGCGGGGGGCGGCCGCAGCAGCAGCAGTGATAGCTTGGCTCGCTGAGCTGTGGCTCCTCGGGGCTGCCTGGGCTGAGCGCTACGGGGCGGCGGGGCGCGGCGGGGAGACGCTCGGGGATCTGGACGCTGCAGCAGCCGGGCAGCGCCCAGCTCCCAGACGCGCACCGCCGTTGGGGCAGCCGCCGAAGCCGGGGAGCCGGCCAGGGGAGACAGAAAGGGGCTCTGGCTCGGCGGTGGCAGGCGGAGACGAGCCAGGGGTGCCATCGGGGCGGCCAGAGAGAGCGGACCAGGCTGGCGGCTGCGCTCTGGGGCTCGAGCGCCCCGGCTGGGCATCTCCACCGCGGGGCCGCCAGGCCGCTGCCGATCGCCTCCGGCGCGCCGTTGGGGCTGCAGGCCACCGCCCAGGGCCATGGTTCTGGCTCCCGGCGCCCGGGCCCCTGCTTTGGCCGCCTCCGGGGACGACCGATTCAGCGGTGAGGGCTAGTGCAACGAAACTCTGGTGCGCTGTCCCCTAGGCTGTCCCACTCCATGGAGTGGGTGGGTGCGCCCCAGCCCCACCTGCCTGGAAGGGCTCGGGTAACAGGAAGAGCTGAGGATTTCAAAGCCAGGAGCCAGGGAGAGGGAGGGGGGTGGGAACGGGGCTGGAGAGAGGGAAGGAGGAGTGGGTGGACAGGTTGGAAGGGCCTTCCTTCGCTGGCAGGGCCGCCCCTCCGGACGCTTAGGTACACCCCTTGAGCCCAAGCTTGTTTCTGCCCTTCCTTCGCTGGCCTAGCAGTTCGGCTGGTGGGCGAGCAGGAAGACGTGTGCTCGCCTCTTGATGCGGTGGGGCCCAGTGAGCCTCTGGGAAGCTCAGCTCTCCGCATATTGGCAGCATCTGCACCCCGGGAACTAGACCTGCCTCAAGGCACAAGAAGCCAGGGATCGGGGCACCCCCCACCAAGTGCATTAGCAGCAGACGTCACTGGGACCTGCAAAAGTTTGGTGCGTTTGGCAAAGTGGCAAAGGAGACCCCTGTGAAACTAGTTAGAAGGGGCCTTAGAGGTCATCTAGCCCAGGGGTGGGGAACCTGCAGCCTCGAGGCCACACGTGGCCTTCTAAGTCCTTGGGTTTGGCCTTTTGACTGAGTCCAATTTACAGAACAAATTACCAAGGGAATTATTTCTTAAGGCTAGATTTTAGCCCAACCTTATTTCATAGACTGAAGTCGTTTGTTTTTTTAGGGGAAAGTTTTTCTTTTTTTGGGGGGCTAAGCAAGTATTTCTTTCCCCCTATTAAAAAAAAGACCCTTGTAACAGATACGCTTCAAGCAAAACAAATTCCCACGTTGGTCACGTCCAAAAACGCATGCACCGTTCTGCACCTTAGCCCACATCCATCCCCGTAGGTAAGGCATGTGAGCAGCACTCCGACTTTACACTGGCAAACTGAAGCTCAGTAAAGCTTGTTGTCCTGAAATGTTACCTGGTTACCGCCAAGTGAAGGAAGGGTACTTTGTATGCAAGAACTCTTCTTGCTACAGCCCAAGGTTGTAGCTTCTAAGTAGACAAACCCAAGTATCCTGACTCCCAATCAATAAATCTAAGAGCCTACTAGGTGCCAGGCACTGTGCTAAGAACCAAGGGCTTAGATTTGAGAAGCTTCAAGGCTCCTTCCACATGGAATACTGTCTCCTAACCCTTTGAATTTTTTTTAAAGGTTAAATCTCAGTTATTTAATGGTCATTGCCAGGGTGATGGTTTAATTGAGAAACTTTGCATTCACATAAGCCACACCCATGAAGCAGTTGGCACAATGGTCGGTGCTGGATTTGGGGTCAGGAGTTGGGTTCAAACCCAGCTTGATACTTGGCTGTGTGACCCTGAGAAACTCATTTTTATCCTTGCTACCCATTTCCTCAGCTGTGAAATGAGAGGGTTGGATTAAACGGTCTCCAAGTTCCCTTAAATCTCAGTCTCCGATCCTGTGACCTAAGCCTTAGGTGTTAAGGATCCATTCTGGCTCTTACAGTAGGCGATCTACCAGGGGGAACACTAGATCCTTGGCAACACTGACCTTTTGCTTCTAGGGAGAAATGCAAACTTCTCAAGCAGGCCTTGAAGCCTTTCTCAGCCTGGTCAGCTCTCCTTCACAAATGCCACCTTGTAGCCAAACTAAGACTGCTGTCCTCACGCTTGACATTCCACCCCGACTCTGGACTCCCCAAACATCCCTTTTTCTGAAGTTTGGCTCAAGGATCCTCCGTGAGCTGGGGGCTTCCACTGTCCTCATTCTTCCTTGTTACTCCCTCTTCTGCATTCTAAGCCCTGGGCAGAATGTAAGTGCTTATTCATCTTAATATCCCAGGCAAACAGCATGCCTGGCACACAGCAGGTACTTAATGAATGTCCCGGGTTTCTGTCCCAGAACCAAAAGAACATGCTAATAAAGAAAAGATTTGGTTTGTTACAGAGTTTATTGAATCCTTTTGATACAGAGCAGCCAAGCAGGGCCCTTCTTTCCCCTCCCTCGGCCACCCATACAGGCTCTCAGAACAGGACCGACTTTATAGCAGTGACACAGCAGCTGATAGGATGGTGATCCCCACACACGAAATGCTGAGAAAGGCATCTGGTGGCCCCACGTGGTCTTCCCCCTCCCGTCCACTTGTTGGGTCTTGCACCCAAAAATACTTTCTAAAGAGAGAACCGTGCTCATTAGCAGCCTTTGCTTCTCACAGAAAGCCGAACAGTGACATCAAGGGGTAAGCCATCCTTTACATCAGCAGAGTTGGAAGCAAAAATAAGATACAGAGGGAGAAATTGTAATCCGGATTAGATGGAACAATTCAGCAATTATGAATCTTATTTTCTCAACCTTCTACCTAGGACCCAAGTCTGGGACCAGGAGTCAGAATATGATCATGAACCCCTCCGATTTACAGTATGAATAGCTAATATATGACCAGGAAGGCTCCAGAGCAGGAGACTTACAGATGACATCAACAGTTAAGTTAATATTCCACCCAGGGCAAACAAGGGTCCCTTGTTAGAAATGTCATTTGGTGCTGCTGGTCACTAGGCTTGTCAACAAACCTTGGCATTTTGGACACTGGGCTCATTAATGGTCTATGGCACAAATAATCGTAATTTCCCACAATTTCAATGGAGAAGAACCCCAAGGACCTCGTTGATGGCTATTTATTTTTTATTGAAGGTAGCCAGTTTGCTAATTGACACTAATTTTAAGGCAGCAAGCTTGACTTCCTTTCACATATCCTGTTCTGGAGCAAGAAGAGCCTGCAGTTACTCCGGAACTCGTAGATTTCGGGGTACTCGGATACATATTACCTGCTAAGCCCCCCTCCGATGGTGGCACAAAGGTGACCCTGGGCCTAAAACCTTTGTCAGCCGAGCACGAACGGAGGTCTGATACCAAGCTGGAAAAGCCTCAAATGCTGGGCCACCGGCAGATCGTGTCTGTTAAATGAGAATCAGCCTCACTGCGTTTGGAGGGCAATGGCCACTAAGAGATTCCATTGTCTTTTGGCCACAGTAACTCCTGAGGACCATCTATGGGAGTCGCAACCTGCATCAGCGGTGGGGGGAGGATGGCATGCCCACCCCATGAAGTACATAAACACACCTAGGACTAAGGTGGGAAACTGCTCAAATTAAGGAGAAGAGCTGTTCAGCTTTTGGCATGTAGGCTTCCTTCTAAGATTTCTGGCTTCGTGGTACTTTTCAGAAGAGAATGTTTTCTCTTTATCACTACCTAAGGGAAATAACTGCTTAACCACTGTCTTTAAAGAAAGAAGAATGAAGCCCTACTAGGGGTGTGAAAAGAGACAAAGGGATGGAGGGCGCCAGAGTCAGTTTTGATTATATTTCAACATTAAAACCTTCCTAGATTCGTTCCTGTAAGTAGGCCCGAAAGGGCTTCTCCAGGCACACCTGCCGCCTGAGTACTGCTCAAACAACCTTTAACCTGACAATGTGCACGTGCCAATGGTCGCCCTTTTTAAAAATGGAGACACAGGCCCCGCCTCAAACACCCACACAAGACACAGGTTAGGACCACACCCTCCCATGTGCTTAGGTGAGTGACCGAGGGTTCTGATCATTCCCACCCCACAGGTCCCAGACTGCATGTTTCTGTAGTGACAGAAAGAACACCTTCATATGTTAGTACTTTGAGGCTAACTACACTGCTTGGCTACAGTTTTCATAATTTAACAGAGCCAAAGGCATTCTTAACAGCATTATTAGTTAAAGGAATTAGATCAAATGAACTCCATTTTCCTTATTCCTTCCTTACAAAAATTATGATTTATTCCAAGGTATTGTCATAGTGGAAATTAAAGTTTAACTCAGTACTTTTGAGCTGTACTATTGTCATAAAGTCAGTCAGCCTTTTCAACAAAGATGATTTCTAGTAAAAGAATAATTTTATACTTCTTAAAACCTTCCCAATTTTAAACCTAATGTTCCAGTCTAGGGGTGGGGAACCTGCAGCCTCAAAGCCACATGTGGCCTTCTAGCTCTTCAAGTTCGGCTTTGACTGAATCCAAACTTCATAGAATAAACACCCTTAATAAAAGGATTTGTTCTGTAAAACTTGGACTCAGGCAAAAGGCCGCACCCAAGGATGAGGGTGCAGGTTCCCCACCCCAGTTCCAGTCCAACTCATGTCCCCCCGCCCTTTAAAAGCAGAAACTCTTAGGCTGTGAAGTCATGATGCCAGAACACAGATCTTGCTCAGTTCATTCCAAAATCCATTTAAATTTCATGAAAAGGATGGATGAAACCAGCTCTTTGGTGCTGTAAAACCAAAACAACCATAACACTGAGTTTTACATGTATATGATTAGACGAGGTGGCCTCTGAGATTCCGTGGTTTTTCACTGTTGGCATCAAGAAGAGATAGCTTCACTGTCACAAGAGGAGGAACTGAACAGACGTAGCTTTGGAAACTGAACTATTACCTATCTTCTTTTAAAAAATTTGGGGGTGGAAAATGTAGTGAATAATTTAATTATACCATATACAAACTCCTGTCAAATAGGCCAAAATGACAAGTATTTTACAAACAGCTTGCTGAGAACTGTGGCCATCTCCATCAACGGATGATGGTTATATGGGAAGCAGTTATGTCCAGATCTGTTTTAGAAGGATACAAAACTTTTAAGCTCCCCTCCATGTCCACCACTCGAACCTGCTCCACAATTAATGGAGGGCTGCCATCTTTTTCAGCATTCTGATTTGACTGGAGATTGAATGGGCCAGAAACACCATCAGCTTCTGTATCGGAGAGGGACTGCTCCTCTTTATTTTCTAAAGTGAATTTGTTGAGCTCTGCCATTTTCTGCAAAAGAAGTATTATTTTAATTGAAAGAATGACGCGACCTCTAGAGTCCCTTCCAGCTTCATAATCCCAAGGACGTGAAGCAATTAACATTTCTCTATAAACCAACGTAGGAAGTAAACATGTCATATACAAAGACTAAGAAAGCCAGAGGACAAAATCCCCATCACTTCTGAAGATATTTCTACTTCTCAAAGACAGTTAATGTACTTGATTTACTAGGCTTCTTACCAAAATGAGGGTGTCCATGATATCTTTACAGATCTGCAGACTTGTAGCACTTGTCACTTCCAGAAATAAATCGGAGGTTGTTGTTTTAATCTAAAGAAGTTGCAAAAGATTTCAGAAAAAGTGAATGCTGTCAAAATGGGCGTCAACACCTGCAATTTCTACTGTAAAAGATACAAAATGCAATTCTAGAAGCCAAAAAAGTTCCACTTCTCCTAACAGAAAACACTTGTGTGGAATGACATATTGCAGATTTTTCTGTTTCACTGACAGCTTCTTAACACAGGACAAAGTTTTTCTCTGCCTCAGTTTACTACTAAACACAGTTATGGAATTTTAAGAATGCTTTCATCATCAAGTATTAATAACTCTTAAGTAGATGTGTTTACCTATCCCCAACATAACAGCATAAGACATTGATAATACTTTTATGATGTCACACATACCTTTGTCTTCTCACTGTTGGTTATTGGTGGGAAAGAAATAACCACATTATCTGCATCTACTAGACAAGGGTAGTTTTCTTTTCCATCTAATAAGTGAAGGTATCTGCCAAAGAAGGAAAAAAAAACCAGGGGCATGACTAGAAAACACAGCTAATTATTCAACCACCTGGACCCCAATCACTGACGTGTAGCAATCCAGAAAGGGCCTGGGCTGAAGTTTATAAGACACAACTCTAACTCAATGATCCTATAATCTACTGAAAAAAGATCCGTTAAACAAATTAAGAGCACAATGACAAGGAGGAAGCTTCAGATACATGGTAGAGGATAAATAGTTTAGATAAATGTATGTGGATCCAAGAGAGGCAGTGTGGCTTAGTGAATAGGGAGCAGGCCTCAAAGTCAGGAAGTCTGGCCTCTGACATATAATACCTGTAGGATACTGGGCAGGGAAAAATTCTAAGCTACAAAGAAGCTGCTGACCTCCACTGGTGAAGGGAATGTCCTCACCTGGGAGTTCTCTATACTAAGAAATACAAGGTCTAGTCTCTATCCCTATTTATACATAAACAAAGTGCTAATTATAAATCATGCATCTCATTCATTAAAGCAGGTACAAGAACCTTAACCTGGCTAAGACATCCTGACCAAAACAAGGGGTCTGGGTAAAAAGAATCAGGCTTCCCAGCATTGTGGTACCTAGCTGGGCCTTCCAGGATCCGTAAGTTTTAAAGTTCAGAGTTTTAATTTTTTTCCATCCACATAATTTTAGAATTTTTCTGATCCTTGTCAGTAACAACATTTCCTAATTATTTGGGAGGTGTTAGATGAAAGAAAATACTTAATCTCCTACCAGTATTTAAACCTCCAAAATGATTATTGCTCATTTAAAAAAAAACAAACCCAGACCAGGAAGCATCTCCTGGGTGTCTGAAAAAAAGCTCTTAATTTTCAAAAAGTTCCTAATATGTGAGAAGAGTATGGCAAAAGCCCATCTGGGAATAAGGCCATTTATTTCACTTGCAAATTCCGAATTATCCATGTCTTTAGTGTTTATGGAGATAATTTTTAAATGGGTGTGTGAGAATCAACATCTAGTATAATACTACCTTCAGATATTTACTTTCTAACTTGCAAGTCAGTTGTTTTCAGTTCATAAACTAAAAGAGAGGAAGCCCAGCACAGAAGAGTTTGGTCTTGAAGCCAGGAGGCCTGAGTTCTAGGCCTGCCTCTAACTTTATAACTGATATCATATTACATGCCTTCTCCTCGGGTGTGGGAGGGAGGGAGAAATTTGGAACTCAAAATAAACATATAATGAATTGCCCTGTTAAAAAAAAATAATGAAACATGCTGCTCACCTCCTTACAGAGGTGAGGGATGCAAAGGACTCAGGGCAAAGGGAGACAAACATAAATACGCGGTAGTTCCCTTTTGGACATGGCCAACGTGAACGTTCGTTATGCTTTGCTATACACGCTTGTAACAGGAATTTTGTTTGTCTTTTGTTTTTGATTGGGGTGAGGGGGAAGAAGAGAAGGAAGATTTTTACTGATTAAGAAAATAACACCGAACTTAATAAAGAAAAGCCAGCACTGGCCCTTGATTCTCTGGGCACGTGCAACGTGTAAACAAAGAGCACCCTCTAAGGCTCAGCTTCACTGCCTGTGCTGGGGGTCACTCACTTCTCTCCTCTATCCTTGTCCCTTCTTCCCTCTATCGTTCCGAGCAAGTGAGGGGAGGGGGCAGGGGCTGACCTGTGCAAACCTGAGACATTCTGCCTTTTCTTCTGCTTTCTCTGCTCCTCAGCTTCCAGTTGTAATTGTCGGACGAGGTCCTTTGCTTTGATCTCCTTCCGTCCTAAGGGGACAATCTACCAAATGGGAAAGAAACAAAATGACTGAGTTGATACTGCCAACTTTGGGAACTCAGCTGATCTAACCTAAAATGCTACAGAAACATCTCCCCCCCCCCATTCTCTCTCACACCTTACTCAGTTTTCTAAGGGGATGGGAGGCATCTCTCTGAGCTGACCGTCACTAAAAGCCTTAGACTTCTGGAGAGGCAGTGTGGTGGAGCAATGAGGGCACTGGAAGCCCTGAGTTCAGATCGCAGCTCCCTTACCAACCCCGCGTGACCCAGAACAAGCCATTTAACCTCCGTGGGTTGGATTCAATGGCCTGAGGTCCCCTTCCGGTTTTACTCTACAATACCATAATCCTACAACACTGATTCTTTACCATTTCTCATGTAACAGATATTCCTATACCTGAGGCTTCACTCCTGCTATGTTCCCCAACACTCTAGGATACACACAACTTTCTAATACCAGATAATTTCCTGTTAACTTGTAGCTCAAAAAATTTATTCATTCTTAGAACAAGTTTCCAAAGAAAATCAACTAGTACAAAAGCCATTATTTTAAAAAGCTTCTAAATGGGATAATTTAATCAAAGCCTCGTTAGTATAAAAACAAAGCATACAACTTGCTAAGTCAGAACCATAGGAAACCCATGAGTGCCTTAGGACAAAAACCCGAGCTCTAGCTGTTAGAAAATCATCAACTGGGGCAGTAAAGGAATGGAAAGAAAAAAGCGAAGCCTGTAACCAGACCTCGGACACCACCTGCCCTCTGGCTGGCAAGCACGCCGAACCTCCGGTTTTCCAGGCCCACTTTCTGGAGATTCTCAATTTCCAAACACTGTGAGTAATATACCTTTCAGACTAACCTTAACCTGGAGGTGAGCATGTTAATAAATTCCCGAAGGTTATCAGATCTGAGGAAGTAGGGTCAAAGGAAAGAAGGAACAGCACCACCTGAGCTGGTCAAGTTAGGTGAAGTATGCCCAGGAGAAACGACTTCCCTGCCAAAACCTCAGGTATCCTCAAGTAACCCTGATGCTATGCTAGGGAAGAATTTAGAAGAAGAAGGGGCAGGTTATGAGGAAACCTCTTAACAGAGGTGTGGAGTATACCAAATGAGAGGGCTGTGAATTTAGGATAGAGACCAAACACCTACAAGTCCTTCCTTGTTTCAAAATGAGCAAAAATGTACAAGATTACAAGAGGGGAAACCTTACTATGACTACTTTGTTTGGAGTGGAATCTGGGAGTTTAAGCAATTGATTTCAAAGTCATCTCTAAATATAGCCTGGCAGGATTTGGGAGCAGGGAAAAAGAAGAGAAGGGAGTGAGGTTTGGTTGTTTTTTAATTTTTTTTTAGTGAGTTTTAAGCATGAATGAGCCCGAGGTGTGGGGGTGTGTGTGTGTGTGTGTGTGAGAGAATCATAATTTAGTTCAATTCAACAACTATATACCATGTACCAGGTGCTTTTCTAAGTGTTGGGGATACACACACACACACACACACACACACACACACACACACACACACACAC